ATTTTGGGGGCGATTTTGGGGGGGTTCCAGGGGGGTTTCGAGGAGATTTTTGGGGGAAATTTTGGGGGGTCCTGAGGGGGTTTTGGGGACGATTTTTGGGGGGCTTTAAGGGGGTTTGGGGGTGGATTTGGGGTGATTTTAGGGAGGATTTGGAGCGGGATTTTGGGGGGGATTTGGAAGGGATTTGGGGTGGATTTTGGGGTGGATTTGGGGGCAGATTTTGGGATGGATTTGCAGCGGGACTTTGAGGGGTTTTGGGGGCAATTTCGGGGTGGTTTTAGAGCGGGATTTTGGAGGGATTTGGGAGCAGATTTTGGGTGATTTTGGGTAGGATTTGCAGCGGGATTTTGGGGAGCTTTGGGGGGATTTGGAATGGGATTTTGGGTGGATTTTGGGGCGGTTTTGGGAGCGGATTTTGGGATGGATTTGGAGCGGGATTTCAGAGGGATTTTAGGGCAGATTTTGGGTGATTTTGGGGTGGATTTGGAACGGGATTTTGTGTGGATTTTGGGGTGGATTTGGGAGCGGATTTCGGGGTGGTTTTGGAGGGATCTGGGGGCAGATTTTGGGTGATATTGGGGGGGATTTGCAGCGGGATTTTGGGGGTTTTGGGTACAATTTCGGGGTGGTTTTGGAGCAGGATTTTGGAGGGATCTGGGGGCAGATTTTGGGTGATATTGGGGGGGATTTGCAGCGGGATTTTGGGGGTTTTGGGTACAATTTCGGGGTGGTTTTGGAGCAGGATTTTGGAGGGATCTGGGGGCAGATTTTGGGTGGGATTTACAGCAGGATTTTGGGGGGTTTTGTGGGCAATTTTTGGGGGGATTTTGGGTGGTCCTGCCAGTGTTTGGGGGGCGATTTTTTGGGCTATTTTGGGTATTTTTGGGTGGGATTTCGCGCCTCTTCCACTTTAGTTTTGCGGGACATTTTTTGGGGTGTTCCCGAAGCTCACCCCGCTCTCCCCCAGACCCCTGGGGGGTGCTGCAGGATTTCTGGGGGCCCTCCCGGGAGCCCCCCCGGTGCGAGCTCAGCCCCACGGCGCCGCTGCTGCCGCCCCCGGCAGGGTCCCCGCAGTGTCACCCGGGGCTGGGGGCGCGCTGGTGGCTGCTGGCCCTGGGGACAGCGGAGAGGGAGGGGACAGCGCTGCTGCGCCAGGGGCCCGGGGAGCCCCCCGGCCTCAACGGTGAGCGGGGGACACCCGTGTGGCACTGTCACCCACGTGGCACTGTCACCCTTGTCATTGTCAGCTCTGTGTCGTTGTCACCTCGGTGTCACTGTCACCTCTGTGGGTGGCACCCCGTGGCCCCTGATGTCCCCCCCCCCCTGGTGTGTCACCGCCAGTGTCACCCTGTGTTCCCTATGCCAACGTCCTCAATGTCCTGTCGATGTCCTCGGTGTCCCCTGGTGTCCCCAATGCCACATTGTCCCCAATGTCCCCTTACCCTCAATGTCCCCAATGTTCCCCCATTGTCCCCAGTGTCCCCGTACCCTCATTGTCCCAAATGTCCCCCCAATTCCTCCGATATCTCCAATGTCCCCTCATTGTCCCCGATGTCCCCCCCAATGTCCCCTTACCCTCAATGTCCCCAATGTCCCCCATTATCCCTGTTGTCCCCAATGTCCCCGATGTCCCCATTGCCCCCAGTGTCCCCAATGTCCCCCATTATCCCAATTGTCCCCAGTGTCCCCAATGTCCCATTGTCCCCAATGTCCCCCCATTATCCCAATTGTCCCCATTGTCCCCAATGTCCCCAATGTCCCCAATGTCCCCGGTGTCCCCCTGCTGACAGCGCTGTCCCTCCCGCAGTGTCCGTGTTCATCTCCACGCTGACCCCCAGCCTGCGGGGGCTGCTGGGCGCCCCCCAGACCCTGCACTGCTCCTTCGGCCCCGCCGGGGGCCCCTTCGCGCTGCGCTGGCTGCGCCACGGCCGCGCCGGCACCCGCCGCCTGCTGGCCTTCGACTCGGCCGCCCCCCGCGCCACCGCGGCCGCGCCGGGGACGCTGCTGCTGCTGGGGGGACACGGGGACACCGCCGGGGCACCGGTGAGGGGATGGGGGAGTCCTCCTGGCTGCTGGGGGGACACGGGGACACTGCCGGGACACCGGTGAGGGGATGGCGGGGGGACAGGAGGGGTCATCCCGGCTGCTGGGGGGACACGGGGACACCGCCGGGACTCCGGTGAGGGGACGGGGGAGTCCTCCTGGCTGCTGGGGGGGACATGGGGACACCGCCGGGACACCGGTGAGGGGACAGGGAGGAGGGGAAGGCTTGGGTCCTCCCGGCCGCTAGGGGGCATTGTACTGCCTCAATCCTCCCTGCCGCTAGGGGGCACTGTGGGCATGGAACCGCACCAGTCCTCCTGGCCGCTAGGGGGCGCTGCAGGCGTGGAACCACCTCAGTCCTCCTGGCCGCTAGGGGGCACCACTGATGCTGAATGGCCTTGGTCCTCCCAGCCACCAGGGGGCAGTACTGGCGCTGGCCAGCCTTGGTCCTCCCAGCCGCTAGGCGGCGCCACTGGCACTGGGCAGCCTTGGTCTTCCTGGCCACTAGGGGGCGCCACTGGCACTGGCCAGCCTTGGTCCTCCCAGCCACTAGGCGGCGCCACTGGCACTGGGCAGCCTTGGTCTTCCTGGCCACTAGGGGGCGCCACTGGCACTGGCCAGCCTTGGTCCTCCCAGCCACTAGGCGGCGCCACTGGCACTGGGCAGCCTTGGTCTTCCTGGGCACTAGGGGGCACTGTGGGCAAGAAACCACTTTGGTCCTCCCAGCCACTAGGGGGCACTGTGGGCAAGGAACCACCATGGTCCTCCCAGCCACCAGGGGGCGCCACTGACGCGGCCCTTTTCCTTGGTCCTCCCAGCCGCCGGGGGGCGCCATGGAGGTGTCGCTGCAGCTGCCGCCGCTCTCGGTGTCTGACGACGGCTCCTTCGTCTGCTCCGTGACCACGCCCCATGGGCAGGTGCAGCAGGTGCTGCGGATGAACGTGATTGGTCAGTGCCGGGGGCGGGGCTGGGGGGGTGGGAGGGCTCCCAGTATGTCCCAGTATGTCCCAGTGCCCCTCTGTGTGCCCACACTGGGCTGGTGGAGCTCTGGGGTCAGTATGGGACCAGTCCAGCTCTGGATGGGCTCCCAGTCCCTCCCAGTCCATTCCCAGTCCCTCCCAGCCCCTCCCAGTCCATTCCCAGTCCCTCCCAGTGCTCCCAGCTTGGTGTCCCCCTGTCCCCAGTGCCCCTGCAGGTGTCCCTGGTGCCCCCCCGGCTGTCCCCGGGGCTCCCGGCCCAGCTGCCAGTCCATTCCCAGTCCCTCCCAGTGTGTCCCAGTCCCTCCCCGTGTCCCCAGCTCACTGTCCCCGTGTCCCCTCTGTCCCCAGCTCACTGTCCCCATGTCCCCAGCTCACTGTCCCCATGTCCCCAGCCCCTCCCCGGGGGTCCCCGGTGCCCCCCCGGCTGTCCCCCGGTCCCCAGCTCACTGTCCC